ATTTTGCCTATCCTATTTAAGGCTGACTTTTTTCCTTTTTATTTCTTTAACTACTAATGTGATTCCTTGTTCCTGGAATAAATACATTCTTTTTAGCTTTAAAAAATTATTCAGCTACAATAAATGACAGAGAACTTGAGGTAAAGATTATTGAAAACCCACATTTACTATTTCCTGGGAAAAGAGTAGACAAAATTGAGTGCTAGATATGTTTACGAAGTGCGAGATTTATTTCTTGAACTTCAGATTCAAGATTTTATAGCGAAAAGTAAAGTTTATAGCTTCTTATATAACTGTTAACACAATAAATTATCTATAAGTCATTGATTAATTCAATGTTTACTAGGCAGTTAGTTTATTCCAGGAACTGCACTAAGTAGTAAGAATTCAGCCATGAACAACACAGATGATTACAAAACTCATTCTCATAAAGAAGAATGAACTTATTAAGCAAATAATCACACATACACTAAAATAGTGAAATTACATTTAAGGGCTTCAAAGTGAAGAGGATTACAATTGTAAGGGTGTATATTAAAAATTTTTCATAAGCACTAGTAGCCTAGTAGCAAGAAGCTGCACTGCAATTCTGAAGGCACACAGTTTGAGGCCACCAGCTGGTCCACAGAAGACGGATGGGCAATCTCCTCTGGTGCAATTAACTGCCTCTGAAAACCTGTGGAAGGCTCAGCTATGGGTCGGTTCTGATTCTACGGTACACAACAACAATAATGGCAAATAAAGACAGATTTTCAATTTTGAAAGGAAGAACATCCTAAAGAGAGAGAAGAACAAGCCTATAGTTATAGCAGGAGGATGTATGACGTCTTCAGAGAACTGACAGGCTAATGTGTCTGACAGGTAACAAAAGAAGCATTTGCTCTTTTATTGACTTCCATTGTTTCTTCCCACATTTGCACCTTTTTCTGTAGCTGATCAAACAACTCTATATCAACCTATTTCTTCTGATTCTATATGGGGTATTCATTGGGTCTGCTTTTTTAGGAGAAGGTTTATTAGGACAGGGAGAAGGAAGATGACAAAATCAAACGTGTGTTTTGGAAAGGACATTCTGGTTAAAATTCGGAGGACAGATTGAATGGAGCCAAAATGGAAAGGTAATGGCCAGTAGGGGTGTTGTTCTAGTAACCCAGGTAAAAAGTCAGTTACATCATCAATCATTAGTACACACTATAAATAATTCATATCAGCTAGTATTGTTGTTGTTTTTTGCTGTTGTGTGCTATTGAGTCAGAACCGACCCATAGCTGACTCTTCAATGGTTATTTATAGGCCACATGGGAGATTGCTCATCTTTCTCCCAGGGAGAAGTTGGTGGATTCAAACCACACGCCTGTGAGATTGTAGCACAGGGGTTGGGGATTTTTTACTACATTGATCCAAAAGAAAAGCTTGTTTGATCCCTTAGCTGCCTAATGGATTATTTCTTTTATACAACACAGTTATTACACTGAAAACAAAATATGGAAACAAAGAACACAACACTGACCCAAAATTATGCTGATAACAGCCCCCATGTTAATAGGAAATAGTTAACAGTAATAGTTATAGACTCTCAGAGTCGCAAGCAACTCGACGGCACATAACAACAACAACAACAATCGTTATAGAATTTTTGTGTTCCAAGGACATTATAAAAAAAAAATAAAGTTACTGTTAAGTTTATTTACATTTTTAATGACATTATTGGTAGAACTGTAGAATATTCCGACCTAGGATTTTAGTAGGTCAAATAGTCCTACACAGGATTTTCAAGGCTCTAACTCTTCTGAATCCCATTACAAGGCCTTTCTTCTGAGGCATCTCTGGGTGGATTCCAACCATCAACCTTTAAGATTGACCACAGTTAAGCATTTAACCATTTTTACTACCTCAGGATTCATCAGGACATTAAATATGATTAAATCAAGCTTTAATTCTGCTGAAGAAGACTGAAACTGAAATGAATTCTTACAAATATGCAAGTTGGAACAACAATAACAACAAAAAAATCAATAAAAACAAAAAGAACCACCCCTGATTTCTAGCTAGCTAAATGTTTTCCTTCTTGACATTTTTTCATTACCAATAATAGACAAGATTCCTGATATTATGCATTAGTATCTATAAATTTACAACAAATATCTCATGCTTTGGAACCAACAAAAGCCATGAAAAACAGGTTGTGTTAACTGCTGAGCGTCAACAGAAATCTTTTACTGACACTGTTGTGTTTAGTCACCTAATGTTACATATTTATGTCAGCTTCCTCACCCTACAGACATTTTTCCACTGATGATTTGTTGATTTGTGTTTCATGTAAAGAACTCACAGCATGAATTAATTCTGCCATCCCCTTGAATAAGCATACATATAATTAGGGAATACTTAATACTCAATGATCTAAATTAAAGTATCATTTTTTTATGATTTTGGTGAAAGTTTACAGAGCAAATTGATTTTTGTTCAACAATTCATGCACATTTTTGCCTGACATTAATTACAACCCCCACATCAAGAAAACAAAGGTTCTCATCACCAGGTCATTAGCATTATAATAGATAGAAAAAAGATTGAATTTTAAAGATTTTTTTCTTGCTTGGATCCACAATCAACACTTTTAGACTGGCAGTCAGGAAATCAAAACATAAGTTGCATTGCAAAAATCTGCTGTCAAGGACCTCTCAAGAGTGCTAAAGAGCCAATCTAGAGAATAAGATGCGCCTGATCTATGCAATGATCTTCCCAGTTGTTTACTGTGCATCTGAGAGTTGGACAATGAGTAAGGATGACAAGAAGAATTGATGCCTTCAAATTGTGGTGCTGGAGAAGAGTATTGAATTTTCCATGGATTGCAAAAGAACAAACAAGTCTTTCTTGCAGAGGGTGAAACTAGTTTGCTCCTTGAAGGCAAGGATTTTGAAGCTCTGTCTCACATGCTTTGGACATGTTGCTAAGATGGAACAATTCCTGGAGAAGAAAATCATGATTGGAATGAGAGATGATCAGCACAGAAAAAGAAAACCCAAGATGATATGGATTGACACAGTGACTGAAGCATTGGAGTTAAGTGTATCAGAGATGATAAAGTTGATAAAGGTTCAGAGCCATTGTTCATAGGGTTACTATGAGTCAGCATTAGTTAGCTCCACAGCACATTAGAACAACAATAAGAGTGAAACAAACTTCTCCAACTTCCTCCCTGTGTTCCAAGTTTCCATTTGTCTTTCTTCCCTATTCATTCCTGCCTTCTAAGCTGTATCAGAGCAAAGGCCACATTTTCGATCTCATATGGTTAACTATTCTAAAGAGCACATGTTATTATTTATCTTATAGACTTCTCTACTATTGGTTTGAAAATTGAACTGAATATGTAAGTTTAGTTTCAGACTTGAAAACTATCTATATAGGCCATAGTCTTAGAGGTTCAGTAGAACCTCTAGTATCTATTAGACCAATGAGCCTGGTTATTTTTATGACTTTGAGTTCTTGTCCACTTTTTTGTCCTACTCTATCCAGAGCCAGCTACTGTGACCACTTTCAGGGAAGCTGGCAGCAGTAACTGGGCACTCTCTAGTTTTTCTGATCTCAAGGTCTTTCATGGAGGCTGATTCTTGTGGTGTAAGTCTTTTTTTTAAAAAAAAATTTAATTTTTTTAATAGTCTTTTTTAGGACTAATTTTTTTCTTTTCCTTGATTTTTTTCCACCGTCTTCTTTGTTTCAGACATAATGTAGTATTGGTCTAAAAGTTGTCTCTTTTTTAGCCATTTAACTTCTGGTCTTTCACTACCTTAACTGCAGACACATGGCCTTGAAAATTAGCAAGGTCTTATAAATCAGCATCAGCTGTGGGAGTAGGATAAGAGAAAGAGTGTTTCCCCACACTGAGCAGCAAGACTTGAGATGGGCAAGACTTGTGGCGTCAAGACTTGAAGATTGGAGCAGACTCTATTGGGGAGATAGAAAACAGTATTTTGTCGATTTTTCCATTATCACAAAACTCTTAATCATTGTGCTACCAAAGCTTTCTTTTATATTTCCAAAACTCTGTATACATGTTTTCAACCTCAGTCTCTTATAAAATCTTTGATTTATTATACACACACTCTGATAATATTTTAACTACTTTTAGATTCTTCTCTCAATAAAATGTTGTCCAGCTCTGTGTTATCTTTACAATTCCTGGTGTGCTCAGGTTCACTGGTGTATTTGTTGTATTAGTCCATCTCATGGAGAGTATACTGATTATTGACCCTCTGCCTGACTAAATATTATTTTCTTTTCTATACTTTGATCTTTCTTTATGGAATGTCTAAAGTAAGCAAGTTAAATGAAGTTCTATTGTGAGTCATAAGGTTTTTATTGTCTAGGTTTTAGAAAGAGATAATCAGACCATTTTTTCAAGTTCATCTTACTGAAAGACTTGCTAAAACCTATCATTGGGTACCTTTTGGTATTTAAAATATCAGTAACTTAGCTTCCAGATTCATAAGTATATGCAAGTTACTATAGATGAATAAATGACTAATAAATTATAGATATGTATGGATATAAGATGATAATTTATCATTAGGGTTTTATACTTACCTTGAACATTTCACATTAAATATATTGAATCTGATTAACACTTGATTTTTAATTTTGTAAAGTAAAAGCTGGAATAGAGTTTCTAAGTGGGACTTATGAGTTCTAAATTGCATACCCCAGAGGGAAGCACATTTTATATAAATAAAAATTACTTGTCAACTTCTAGGGTTTTCTTCCATCTTGTAAGACTTAGCGTCTTTGATCACATTTATATTCTGACACATTCCAATATTATAACACAAATTTCATCAACATAACAACCTTACACAATAGGAGAAGAATACGTTCACAAATTTTAACCTGACACTTTTAAGGTCTGTAAAACCTGTTTTGAAAAGTTTTACTATGACTGATAATACTCACACACTAAGCCTTGAACTTGACTTTAGAAAAGTACATTAAAAACTGTCACCATGAATGGTGAAAAGCTCATAAAATTTGGTTTACTTCCAGAAGTAAGTTTATCCTCTAGCATTGGGTTATTTTGGAACTGTGAATTGTGTAAACTTCTGCTTAAACAATCAAATAGCTTGTGGTCTTCAGTGATGCACTGAAATACATCCAAGAATTCAGGACATTTTTTGCTTAAGTTAAACACAAAACAACAGCTGCTTCTTTAATAGTATTCAGAAACTCCTTAGAAAGAAGAGGAAGAGAAGAAAAAAGAAAGTAACTCAATGATGAAAGCAAAGAAATGTGTTTGCTTTATGCTTAACTGGTGATGTCAGCCACTTAACCTGTTGCATTCAACTTGATTCTGACTCATAGTATCCATATAGGACAGAGTAACACTGCCTCACAAGGTTACCAATGCTTTAAAAAGTATTTGATAGATTTGAACTGCTAGTATCTGAGAGCTTAATCACTGTCCCACCACAGCTCATTTGTCAGTCAATTACTATTGTTTGTTGCTAATGTGCCATCAAGTCAAAAACAACTTATAGTTATCATTACTGTGAGGTTTTGGAGCCTGCTGTAAATCACAGGGGATTTACACAACTTTCTCTTTTGGAGCAACTAGTAGAGCCTTTGGGTTTACAGAAGAACTTCTTTCCCACTAGAGATAATCTCATTATCTATAACTGTCAGGAGATAATGCAACCAGAATGTTCCTTGGATAAAGCTTTTAGGCATGTTTCTAGGACAGGTTATACTATTTTGGAAAGGGACATCATACTTGGAAAGGTGGAAGGTAGTCAAAAGAAAGGAAGACCCTTAACAAGATAGATTGGTACAATGACTGCAGCAATGGACTCAAGTATGTCAGAAATGATGAGGATGACACAGGGTAGGACAGGGTTGGGGTTCATAGTGTTGTTATGAGTCATATACAACTCAAGGGCACCTAACAACAACAATGGTCAATCTCTTAATCTCAACAAATATGTATGATTTATACTAGTATCCCAGAAAATAAATATTGCAAAATAGCACTATATAACACTCTACTTCTTAGTACTAAATTTCCTTATTGTGAAAAAGAAAAAAATATAGCAATATAATTAATCTACTAAAATAATATATGTGTAGTTGCTGTAGGTCATAGCATTTTCTGTGCAAATGCTGAGCATCCTAGTAACTCCTGTCAACAGACTTACAGCCAATGCCACTTACGTTTTATTTAATATCTGCTTTGGGCATGTCTTTCTGTTTACAAATATTGGGTCTTCATAGCAAGTCAAGTTCTATGATGAGTTGTAGGGATATGGAAACAAGAAAGAACTCAATTCTGGCCCTTTGGAACTTATCCTATTTTCTCGGTAAGACCATAAGTATTTTGAAAAAAATATTCATATTTATCTCTATTATTTGAGTCAAATACAGAATTTTCTGATCAACACGAGTCTTAGGTAAAATCTGTATCAGCCACTCCATATAACAAGTTCTTCAATATGTTTCTTTTCAACCATAGTGAAGAGGATGAATATTCTAAGACTTATTTAAAATAATACTTGAATAATTTTGATGTGGTGCCACTAAAAATGATTACATTATTAATAAACACCAGACATTGCTACATAAATTTTACATATATGTTAACATATTTAAACCTTCTATCAGTCTAGTGAAGCAGACATACTAGAAAAAGAAACAGCAGCACGGAAAAGAGATATCCCTTCATGGGAAAGAGTGTCTGGAAAATCAAAGCTAGGGCTATTCCACCTGGCATACAATTGTGCTTCATTTCATTAAACGAAAACTAATTTAAAGAGGCACTTCACCCTATGATACTCTAAAACTACCGATAAAATTAGCTTGACTTTCTCCCCATCTTAATTATTTTAACTTGACAATTTGGATTTGCCAAAATTTTCTAAAGCATGTATCATAGATTTTAGAAACAATCCCAGAAGATAATCTTGGCATCTAACCCATAGCAATTTGTTGAAATAGAAGACACTTATGAACTCTCACATTTTGCATTTATCACAGTAGTAAAAAAAGAAAATCTACCATGCAACTTTTATTTTGCACATTACCAATTTGCAGTAATCATGACTACAGCACTAACAAACTGTAAGCTGTGAAGTGGGAATAATAATGCTGGTTGTGATAGTTAACATTATGTATCAACCCAAATGGGCCATGATTCTCAATGGTTTGTCAGTTCTATGACAGTGTCATCCTCCATTTCCAAATACCAGCAAAATATTTTTTAAACACTTGAGATACACACACAGACACATAGACACACACACACACACACACACACACACACACACACACACATATTTATACTATACATATATACCTGTCCCCATACCTTTTTAATCTGTATGCAAAACAGGGCTTTATGAGGAGTAGTGTGCCATCAAG